GGAAAAAAAGAAGGTAAAAAATAGTTTATATTGAATAGACATGTTTTGTATTGGTAATATGTAACCAAATCCTAGTCGATTAAATTGAAATATTGAAAATATCGAATTCAAATCTGGACCAAATCAATAATTTAACCAAAATTTTATTTGTGTTCTTACTATTGTTGTTTGACTAATCTTGCTATCGTAATCAAATCTAGAAATGTGAAATTTATCTATTACACCTTACACGAAGACTTTCAAATATTTGTCAACACAATCTTTTGTAGTTATTTTATTTTAACGAAAATAGTCTGAATCTATCTTGTGCAAACTATATTAAATATTTAACAAATAAAAGAAAAATAATAAATAATAAATAATGAAAAATCAATTTCAAGGGAGGTCAACATAGAGTAGAACCTAAGTATTTTATTTATTTTAATTTCTTTTTCTATATTGAAATTGCTAAACTTTTAAATATTATATTTTGATTCTATAATTATGAGCAAATATTATAATCCTTGCCACTAAATTATTATGATTATCACTTAACAAGAAATCTAAAACATTTACCATGAGTTTTGTATGCCTTCTAAGTGAATGGCTCATTTTTTAAGAACTTTTGAAAGAAAATTAATTAAATATTTAATTTAAAACCAATCTAAGTGCTTGTTTCCACAATTCAATTATGTTTCGATTTTTGTATTATTTAAAATTTTAATGAAGATATACTAATTTTCAAGATGTGAACACGTGGCTTTTGACTAATATTGAAGGTGAAGTTTGTGCTAAATGTAATTATTAAAAAAAATAAAAAAAAATTAACAAGTATTTAAAATTGGAAAAAGAGAAATGGAAAAGTTGAAAGAAAGTGAGTCACCAGAAGAGTGGTGAAGGAGTTGAGAGCCCTTGAGAACATACTCAGCCCCCACAGCATCAGCGGGATACACAACGTCGTTTTCCGACAAGTCGTTCCACACATATCCGCATTTGTAGCTCCTAATTCAAATCAAGACCAAAAACACCGACATGTCGCAACCCCAAAAAAACAGAGCAAAACAAAACAATACAAAACAAATTGATTTACCTCTTGCAGGACCAGGAATAGAGAGCGGGCATGGCCTTCCCTCTCAGAACCGCCAGCCGATCCATCACATCTGTCGTCACAATACCAGAATCAGCGAAACGACAACAGAGAAGGTGTCGTTCTGAAATTACCTCTGAGGCGAAGAGGGCGGTTGGCGGGGAGATTGAGCTCAACAAAATGGGGCTGCTCCAGTTGCCCATTTCTCGAGAGGTAGTAGAAAACTTGCATCTTTTTCATGGCCATGCTTTCACCTTCTTCTTCTTCTTCCTTCTTCGTCTTCTTCTTCTCAGCCATGGAAAATGGAAATGGAAATGGAAATGGGCTTTAATTTTATCATTTATGAGAGCTACAGATATTTGATTTGATTTGATTTAGGGAGCATTTTAAGAACCTGTGAGTAATGGGAAAGAAAGAAAATTTTGACTTTTGGAAACAGGGGAAGGAGGAGCTCGGATCCCTAAGAATCGATCAGGGCTAATTTTTTCTAAAGAAAATTACTGCTTTTGCATTTTGCTTGCCTTCTACAAATTTTACTGCTTTTTCTGTTTCTCTGCTCTGCTAATGCTATTGCTATTCCCATGGGTCAGCTTTTTTTAAAGTCTACATTGCAATTTATGGCCAATCTTCTCTCTCTTCTCAGTTTATGTGTTTCTTAAAAGCCTCAAAATTCAATACTCCTCGATCTTCTCTAATTATGAATTTGGTTTCTGCACCATAGTTTTCACTTTCTTTAATTAGTATGATCTGGGTTTTACTTTCTATGTGGTAATGAGTTGTTTTCAATTTTGTTAATTGAGTTAAATCACTAAATTAGGGTTTATTGGGTGTCATGATGCTGGGTCATAGCATTATGGCACTTAAAATTTTGTTTTTTTAGTACAACAAATACAAAAATAAATATTTAAATCTCTGATCTCAAAAAATGGTAAAATGTCTTAACTACTACACTATGTTCGCGTTGGCATGATATTGATAAATATGCCATTAGATGACACATTAATATACCTTTAAAAAAAAAAGCTGTGAACAAATATTCATCTTATCACATTAGAACTGTACGAAAATTTACTGTACTTTCATTTGTTTTCTAAATAATAAAAGGATGATCTTTTCCTCTTTTTTGAAACTTACAAATTGTGCTGGATTTTGATTGTACAATACACGACAAAATCTTTTCAAATCAATGGTCAATGGTCCATTTTGGTAGTCATCCGGGTTAATTTATGTGCAAAGTTTCGATTCCTAGCGATGAAACGAGGGAAGAAAGAAAGTTTTCGCACTTATCTCATCTAAAATTCAATTCGATGAAATTGGAAGTTTATGGTGAAAGTTGATACATCAGATAAAGTTTTACTCTTTTTTTCCTAAATTTCATATCACGTTAAAGATAATCGATCAATATTGTCCATTTTAGACCTAAAATATTGTAATTTTACTTTAAATTTTTTACATGTCTTTATTATTATTATTTTTCTTTGAAAAAGAAAAAAGCAATTGATGGAGATTCAAAACGATAGCTCTTTCATATGGGCCATAAGGCCCATTTAACAAATAGAAAATGTTCATCTACACTTATTAGGTCTTCATCCAAATATGATAAGGGTGTTCATAATTACTAGAACTAGAACTAGAAATAGGTTTAGACATATTTTAAACCTAACTCAATTACTCAATATGTAAATACGTCTAACTCTAGTTAATTAGGCAAGATTAAAAAAATGGTTGAACATTGACCTCATCTTAAGTTAGAAATTCTGACTTTTCTTTTATATACTTTTATGTTCTTTTAGATACTATTATTTCCATAGCTTTTTTATATGATATGAACTAAACTGATAGATCAAATTATTCTTACATGATTACAAAGATTCTTCAACCAAAATTGTTAAATAGTTACCTACAAAATTTAGGATCATGAGAAGAAAAAATAGCTCAAGTAATAAAATATCATTATAAGAAAAATTTATTGAATGAGGTTGTCACGATATAGTTGCCTTCTAATAATTACTCGGAGTTGATTCTGAAATTTCTATGCACCTAATAATCCCTTTATATAAATTCAAAATATTTTTATATTTTCTCTCTCATAAATTCAACAGTGTAAAATTGTCAGCTACATTGTGGCAATCTCCTCTAATAATTTTTGAACTCATAACTAAAAATTACGGTCTATATAATAACATACATTATAGTTAACGTCAAAACGTAATTTAATTTAAATCTTAGTTTCCTCAGTCACGATCAAATATTTAAGAATCGAATTAGAAACTATACAAATTTTGATATAGACCATAGTCATAAATCATAATAAATCAATCTTATTTTATTCCCATCTTAAAAATAAAATTTTGCACGAGTCAAGGAACCCCACGTGTTACAACAATGCCTTTGTCCCTCGCCTTCCTCGAAAGCCGCGGTTTTTTCAAACCAATGCGCTGCGCCGACGTCGTTTTTCCTACGTGGCTCGATTTTAGCCCTTCTAGTTCTCCCCACGTGCGCACCTCCTCGAACTACGCTGTTTTCTCAATATCCTCCAAAATTCATGTTTTTTTTCTCTCTCGCTCCCTCTTTCACACGTGTAAAATTCATTTAATAAATTTCTTTCGACAACCTTGAAATATTAAATAATTTATTTAATTTTCTCATCTTCAAAGTTCAAACCAAAAAATTTGACTTTTTTGATACGTGCATATCCAAACTTGGGAACTATAATTGTGGGATGCTTCGAATCACCCACACTTCGTAAATCACACGGCCTTTCCCCTACGCATATGGCCCATCCAAACCGACCTTAGTAAAAATTTTATTTTTGTTAAATATATAGTTTTTTTCCTTTTAATTTATGTCAATCTACATTTTAAAATATCACGTGAAAGTTATCTAATAGTATATCGTCATTTTATTTAGTACAATTCTTTTAACTAGTGGATGAATGTCTCAGTAAAACGATATTATGTTTTTTTTTCGTTTCTAAAGTTGGTTTTTTATATATGAATGGTAATTATGCATTGTGGTACTAATCAAATATATTGTTATGAGTAAGAGATTTATAACATATATGAAGGGTATGTAAATGGTTAGATATCTATATATATATATAATGGTTTTTTTTTTTTTTTTTTGAGAAATAATGATTTCCCCTTAATAATTTTGTGGTTTGAATTTAATCATTTGATATTTTTATTTTTACTTGACATGTTGTATGAGGATGTGATAGAAAGAGGCAACTGAATCAATAACCATTTTAACCAGTCCACGAACGTTTTAAAAAGATTAAACCGGACATTAGAGATTAAAATGATAATTAAACCCAAAAAAAGAGGAAGTATTCTAAAGTCAAAACGCCACTTAATTTAACATTTAATGAGGTAAAGATAAAATTAAAAAACAAGACCGACATTTAAGAAAAAAAATTATATATTTAACCTATTCACACGACACTCTGTCTCTGTTTTCTCCCTCTTTTTATATCCCACCCACCAATTCTCGTCCCCAAAGGGAAAAAAAAAAGTTCACAACTCAGAGAGAGAGAGAGAAATTGAAGAACAATGGGAAAATTCGAATCGGCGAAAGAATGCAAGCGGCACCCAAATCACAATCTTTTACCCGGAATTTGCCCCTCATGTCTCCGGGAAAGACTTCTCCAATTCCAATTCCACCAATCTTCTTCCACGACTTCCGGTTCTGTTTCCTCCTCAATTCACAGCTTCTCCTCTTCCTCCGAATTCTTCTTCTCCGGCGAGTCCCCACGGCAGCGCCGCCACCGGAGGAACGCCTCCGAGCTGGTCACGGGCCCGGCGGCCGAGAAGCTGAAGAAGAGCGGCTCGATTGGGGTGGAGGCCGGCGGCGGAGGGAAGAAGAAGGCTGGGTTCTGGTCCAAGTTGCTGCTCCGGCCCAAGGCCCTGTATTTTCATTCGCAACCCAAAGTTTCGAGGGAAATTGTGGGATGAATTGAGTGATTCTGTAAAAGTATTTATGAAGATCAATGAATTATTAGATCTTTTTTTTTTTTTCTCTCTTTTGTGTTCGTTGATCTTCTGATTGCTTCATATGCTTGATTCAATTTGAGATTTACAGATTTTTGTTTGAAATTTTGGGTTGAATTGAAAGAGTTTGTTTGGAGGTAACAAAACTGGAAAATTCAACGGAATTCTCAATCAATCGCAATCGGGGTTTTGGCAGTTCAACAAGGCTATGCGAAGGAGTCAATATTTATTAATGCATTTCCCCACCAAATTTTGTTTCTTTTTTATTTATTTATTTATTATTCTTTTAGGGTTTTGAAGGAATCGAAGACTCAAAACAGGGAGTTGTGGCTAACAGCTTTTATTTATTTTAAATTCTTTTTTGTTTTCTAATATTAATTTATTAGACAAGTTAAAGACTTATATAACGAAACTTTCATTTTACATTTTACTTTTTTGGCTTTGATCCTCTATCCTATATGTTATAAAAATAGATTTTGATTTTACTTTTTTTTATCTTTACGACTATCTGTTTAGCAACGGATTGAAATTGAAATTAAATTTAAAATATTGGTCAGTATTTAGTAATACATTTGTAAATTAGTGGTAGTTTACCACTAAATATTTAGTTGAATCTAAAATATTATTAATTAGCTTATTAAAGAATATGTTACTGATTTTGTATAATAATTATTTTATAATATTATATAATTTATATTATATTATGTTTATGGTTTTAATTTCAACAAAAATGAAACTAGTTTATTTTTTTTAATGTGATTAGTCAACATTTTAAAGTTTTAAATTTAAAATCTGAAAACACGGAAAATTTAAAATGAAAAGAAAATATTGAAAAGAAAATATTGAATTCATTTGATTCAATAAATTAAAAAATAAGAAACATAATCTTAGATGTCATACCAAACACGCCATAAATTATTCAAATCGAAATTAAATTTGGTAAAATTAAATTGGAAAAAGAAAAAGAAAAAGTAAACTTTGCAGGACGTGTGGTCTGTTTGAGCAATTTTTTAGTTGGATGGTAAATTGAACTTTCTTCTYTTCGCAAGTTGGGGAACTTTGTATGGCTTGGTGGTCAAGTTCAAGTTTCAATTATGATCATCCTCGAGAGTAGAGTTCACAATTAACAATTTCTATACCTATCTCTTCTATAATATTGGAAAACTATTCTCTTTTAAAGGTAACCCAGTGTTCGTCGTGCTTTGTAGGTATCATCTTTGGCTCTCATCAAATGGCTCACCGTCTTAAAAGTTAGCTCGAGTCCTGCTTAGACCAGGGATGTTCATGGGGTGGGACGAGAATGAAAAATTTTCCCTTTTTTTTTTAATTTTTAAAAACTATTTCTCAATTAAGTAATTCTTTAAACAAAAATTCTTACTAATGGTTTAATTTTCTAGGATAAAACTTTATGTACATGTTTAATCCTTTCATATATATATATATAGAATCATAGATTTTTTTTAACGTGTATATGTATATATATTAAAAAAAGTGTGGTAGAGTGGAGAATGGGAAACGTGTTTAACATATATGTATATATGTATATATGGAGAACGTGTTCCCAATCCCTGTTTAGATAACGAGGAAAAAACTTCCCCATCTCTATCCAGAAAATCTAAATGGGAATTTCCCACCTCGTTTCGAGTGGGTCTCCCAAAAACCCCATCCATACGAAAAAACGGATGTTCCTGGTCTAGACTAAATTCAGGCTCGATTTAAAATTAATGATCAATATGTTCTAAATCGTTTTATGTATTGAATTATATATTCTCATCCCTTTTTCAATTTGAATTTACCAATCATAAGCATATTGGGGTAGTCAATTGGGCTAGCCTGGAAGGCCCAACCTATATATACCTTTCTAAACTGTTTCCTAAAAATAAAATTTTTAATTTTATATGTTATATAAATATTCTAAAAATAACTAGTTTCTAACTGATCACAATATTAGAAAGTTAAAAGCTAATTAAAGAAAATCTTAAGAAATAAAAGACAACTTTTTCAAACAACAATTATCCAAAAACTTTTCAAATATAATTTAACCGAAGATATCAAACCAATAAGTTTTAATAAAATTTGGTTTAAGAATCTAAAAGAATAAATTTTAATGTAGGCATGGGATCTTCCAATCAATTAAAAATGCAGAACCTTAGATTTTATTTGGCTTCTAAGCCTCGCCAAGATTAATATCTCCTCCTCCTCCAATGTAGCTCCTATCACAAGATATCCCTGTTTTACTAATGGATATCTTTTTACATATTCAGATTGGCTTAAACTTATAAGATCTTCATCTTTATCCATATGAACTCAATTTTTCTTTACCCATAAAATATAGAACTATTCTTACAGAGTCTAAATTCATCTCAAATTCTCATAGAAATTAGGTTTCATTTTAATCATAACTCTTATTAATTAAGACAATTCTCTTTTCGACCCTTTTTTTTTTTATCATCGCCAACCTGATGGTAAGAATCGCTCAAACAAACAAATCTTTGCCCAAGCAATGGTTCGTAAGTAATTTAGAAAGGCTATAGAATAGAATGGAGCCCAAAGGCAAAGTTCCAAGGGTAGAAGTTTTGTACTTTCAACATCATCATCATTAGGGAAGGCCCTCTTCTCTTCTTTCTTTTTGGTGTTGTGGTTCAAAATTCATAATATTTTTTGACCCTCAAATTGGATAAAAACAATGAGAAGGCTTCCTCTTCCCACTTCCAACTTTCCCTTTTGGAGGCCCATCGGATCCTTTCATTTTGGCATCTCTTTGCCTTTTTCCTCTCTCTCTTTTCTTTTCCAAACTTCAACTCTCCCCCCTTTTCTTTTCTCTTTTGCAATCATTTCGCCACACGTGGCCAAATCTTCATCTTCGACTTCAACTTCAGCTTTCTTATCCCTTGTTTACCCATTCTCTATTAAGTTTTTGGAAAATATTTAGGTGTTTGTCAATCTAAATTCATCTTGATTTATCGTGGACAATTGACGTTTGAAGTCACATGTAATAATGAAAGTATCGATTGAGTTTCAAAATGAATTTAGACTTTTGTTAAATGATTGATAAAAATGAATTTCAGTTACTCTAGTTTTTTATATGATTTAAAGCGGTAAAGTTATAATATTTCAAAGTCAGAGAGAATAGAAGAAAATCATTGAAAGTTGGGGCAATAAAGATAAATGAGAATGTGAGTAGGTAAACATTAATCAATTTAAAAGTTTGAGAAATTTGTGGTGGCCGGTGGGTAACTTTTTTTCTTTATTGGATTTTTTAAATATGGTAAGTTAAGATGATTTAAAGTTAGTTTTTTTTTTTTTTTTGTAAAAAAAAAAGTTGGTTTTTTAAAGTCAATATACCAACCAATCAATTATATTAACGATATTTGAATGGCTCATTTGATAATCCATTTTTATTTTTCTATTTCTAAACTCCACAGTTTAGCTATTTTTCTACTTTTATAGTTGGATTTGTTATTTCTTAATTCTATACCTTAATAAGGTAATTTCTATCATCCTACATAGAATTTTAAATATCAAATTAATTTATTTTAATCGCTAATTAAATTTTAAAAATAGAAAAAAAGAAATACATGGACTTTATATTTATATACCTATATTTAACAAGTAAAGTAAAGAATAAGGAAGTTGTAATGAGAGTTGTAGCTTTAGCTAAATCCATGTTTGAGTTTGTTTTAGAAAATGGGATTGAATAATAATGCCAACAAAATAGACATGAAAACAAAACATGTCTCTTCTACACGAAATAATGCTGAGTTTTGTCAAATAAAAATGTCAATTATTCAAATCTTCAAGAAATCTCAAATTATTGATGGGCAATCATACCATAATAATTTTTGGACTATTTGGATATGTTTTACTGAAATCACTCCTTTCTTGTTTTCTTTAATTTGTCATCATGGTTAACATAATGGAAGTTCTTCCACCTTTTAAGCTTAAAAAAACAATTCCTTTAATATTACAAATCTCTCTATCTTTACCTTTACCTTTAAAAAATTATTGTTTGAAAATATTTCTACATTAATTCATACGAATATGAGTATAACTCAATAGTTAGAGTATCTCTGCTTCTATTAAGTTTAGTTGATTAAAGTCTCTTTTTTTCTTTTATTTTTGGAGAAAATTAAGATGCCTATATATAGGCCTCTTCTTAGGTTGAAATATGGATGATTGAAAATTAGCATTTTAAGCTTTTTCTTCTTTGCTCTAGATATTTGGTGTCAAGTGAGCTAGTTGCACAAATCTTTTTGAAACATGCAAGTTTAGATTGGTCTTCAAACTTGTGGAGCGTTATATTTTGGATCTAGAACAAGTTCTCCCCATCTAAAATCTCGGCCTTCAAGGTAAGTTTATTCTTCTTCATCTTGAGCGATTCTTTGTGTGTATTTTAGGTGTTATTGTCATGTGTGTTTAGGAGATGCATGTTTGTTCTTATCAGAGTTGTCTAGGCCACTGGCGGTAGAGTTGAGTACATCATCGGTAATACAATTTTTTTTTAAAAAAATGGACTCATAAAGTTTTATGATTGAAATGAATATAGCATTTAGATCAATTTAATTGGGTCCAAATAATATTTTAGTATTTTGAACTTTGAGTGTTCTCATAAAGTAATTTTAAATATTTAGTTCATAAAATTTTGACAATACTCATTTCACTCCTTACCAACCAATTTTCATTAGGTAACTTAATAGAAACCAAGCACAAAGTCACATGTAATTAGATCAAAGTGTTAGGTGTCAAAAAATGGAACAAAATTTTGTTTGTTAAATGATTAACAAATTGACATTTTTTAAAATAAAAAAAAAAGTAAAACAAAACTATTAAAAATGGAAAGATTAGGGAGTTTAAGATGAAAAAAGAATTTGAATATTATTTTTTCCAATAACATAGAAGGGAATATTATTATTGGGGTTGGTATGTGAAAATTGAGAAGAGAATGAAATTAATTAGGAGGGTGGTGATGATTTAAGATGTCCCACACAAAGGATACAAATTTGGAGAGTAGAGAAAAAGCTTCCACCTAATAAAGTGGAAGAAAATGACACCTCCATAAATTGACAAACCTCATGGACCTTCTATTTATTATTATTATTTTTTTTAAGATCTAAACACCATAAAGCAATACCCATTTCTTTTCTCTCTCTGAATTACTTGATTTTAAATTCATTAACTACTAATAAATTCCTTATATCTACATTGATTATGTTTTTGGCTCTTATAATTAATGTTCTGTTACTAAATTTTTGCAAGAATTTGTTTATTTCAAGTGGAATCAAGAAAAAATTCCCTACTTAATTAGTGGATTTAAATTTCTAACTTTTTATTTTATCGAATTAAATCCTAAACTTAAACAAGTATTTGAGATTAATACTTATTTGAAACTAAATTTAAAAATATCTTACAAATTAATTAATGAATTACTAAAAAAACACTCCAACAACTAAGCCACATGGATACTCAAACCCAACAATAAAAATACCCTAGCTTAGACTCAAAATCGAGTGGTGGAAAAAAAAAGATACTCTAATTTAGTAATATTATATGACCTATACGTCCGAAAAAAAAAGTAATTTATCCTTGTCCAACCGTAATAATATTGCTTATAACTAACCATAAACTAAAAAATAAAAAATAGACGTATTACTCATTAAAATTTAGAGTTTAGCTTTACAAAATTAGAAGTTGTAGTGGCAAATTTAACCCGTCAATCAGTATAATAAGAAAAGAATCCCATGACTACCTTCATTCACATTAGAAGAAGATGAACTTTGTTTGGAAGAATCTTAATGGGGATGAGTGGTGTGAGGAAAAGAAAAATGTTATTCTTAGCTTTATTAAAAGTCAACCTAAGATAATAATTAGCTTTAATGACTGCAGAAGCATTATTAACTAAATTAAAGTAGATCCTTTTAATGCCCATTGGCCAATGTCAACAAAAAAAAAAAAATGATTCTCTCTACTCGTGGAAAAATATAAATGTCTTTTCCCTCTGTATGGGCTCTTTTTTTTGGTGTTACTTCCTCTTTAGTATTTTTTTCCTTATTAAATAAATTTAGCTTATAGTTAATTTCATATATGTGTGACAGAAATTTAAGAATTAGTAAATGTAACTTATTCTCTAAGTATCACGTAAACTTATTTTGTCAAACCACTACAATATAATAAATGAGTATAATTTATACCTTTTATAATGGTTTCAAATTATTCTTACAATTAACTTTAGTATAATTCAATTCGTTAAAATATATATTATTGATCGAAAGGTCGAAAATTTTAACTTCTACCCTAGAAGATCCAAGATTGTGAATTTAAAAAAAAAAAAAAAATACAGAGTGGACTATGGATTGAACTCAAAACATTGGAGTGTAGTTTGCAATTATCTACTATATTTAATAATTAATGTGAAAAGACCCAAAGTTTAAAAAGTCATTTATGTTGAAAAAAAGGCTCAATTGATATTCCTTTTCTATATATATATAGACATATATATGTCCTATCATTTGATAGATAAAATTGTACAAAGTTGACTTATCTTCAAAAGATTTTCTTCAATTAATAAGAGGGGAATTATTATTTTCATCACTTTTGTCGTCGTCACTCTTGATCTAGGATTCTTATGGTTTTTATTAAAGAAATTTTACAAAAACCTATTATTAGGTCCTAACTCGTGGTCATTAATTCCACAATAACATGTTTTATGGCTCAATGACACAATCAACCTAGAAAGTTCAATTTGCACAAAATATAAAATCAAATTCATAGGTAGAAAATAGAATTGCCTAGATCTAAAATATAGATTGATAACTATACCACTCCGTTTAATGTCTTTTTAACAAGTAGAAAGAAGAGAGGGAATATAGTTTTTTTCTTCAATAAATAGCTTTTAGTGATGGCGACAAGAAAAATGAGGAGGTAAATATTATTCTTTAGAATAATTCTCAACACTATGCAAACACAATCTGAGAGTGCGATCCTATTATTATTATTTTTTTTTATGAAGACATAGTATATTGGTAACATAACTTTTACTAAATAACGTTAACTCTAGGCGGTTAATTTTTTAGAATTAGTAGGTTGGCGTATACTCAATGACGTGGATTTATGAATTTGAAGTTTATGATCCATAATTAAGATCACTTAATGCTGTTTATACAATATTATATTTATAATTAATCTTTAAATTGTTACGTGTTGATGATCTCACATTAAAAAGAAAAGAGATCTTACGTAAATTTATAATAGTCATGAGTTACTCTTCTTATTGTCAAGATGGAATCTCATGAATATTAATATAGTATCAGAGCTAAAAATTACAACTAATCGACTTAATATTGACATGCAGGTATAATTGAATATTATTTAAAAATAGAATAAACTTGAAAGCTGAGATCCTTGTTATTCACTTCCCAAATCATTAGAGGCATTACCAAGTCAAATCTTCCACGTGGCAATGTCCAATATGAATGGTTCATTTCCATCCTTTTTTTTTTCTCTTTTCCAATTATTGTATATTCTCGTCAACAACTACCCAATTGTTTTTTATTATTTGCCGACCAATAAGAATAATAACCTTTTCCTTTTTCTTTTTATAAATATACAAAATGGAGAATGTGTAATGTAACGCAGCGTTTGGTGGCTGACTCCTCAAAATTTAAATTTTAAGTTGTTAAAATATGCTGTCAACCAAACAGGTCATAATTACCCACTCTCAAATATGATAAAATAATTAAAATATACCCAACCATAATGTATTATTTAATTGCATTTCATTTTGTATATTATTTATTGATCGATTTGGTTTTTGGAAAAAATAATTCTAAAGAACACGAAAACGACATTGTTATTGTGAGTTGTGACGCTTACCTGCATGCATGCCAGAGCGCTTTCTTCTGGTTTCATTCATTTATTCCTTTTTTCTCTCTCTCTCTCTCTCTTTTTGGTGATATCTATTCCATTGTTTTTTAATATATTAGATTATAAGTTAATTTAATCTTTAAAACCCCTTAAGTTTTTATTCTAATTTTAATAAGTTTCCATTAATTGTTAATTAAATGTTGATGTAGCAAATTAATTAGACTAATTTCTCATTGATTTTCGTTGATGCTGATTTCTGATCCAGTGCTGAATAGGTGTCACGTAGGCTTTCATTTCTTAATCCATGTTGCTCAAGCTTGACATGCGCACATAAACCTAGTATCGATATGGTGCTCCCGAATGTATCTGATGTTTAGATGAGAGTAAAAATGTATGAAACATGTAATATAATTATAAGAATATCAGTTTGTGGAGAGAGAAAGGAATTTGTGTATGAGTTTTGCAAACCTTTATTCAGGTTCAACTGTTGCTTTTATATTTAGAAAGAGAAAGGAAGAGAATCGGGAGGGAGAGTCCATCTAGGAAATATGGAGACCCTCGACATTCTGCATTCCCCTGATTTTTAAGAGTCGTGTGTTGCTACTAAGGACAGCGGATTGACATGTTGTCAGGCGCGCCGCAGGTTTTAAGTGACAGGCTTTGTAATTATATCTCGTACGACGGTACGCTCGACATTCTCCTTTTATTAGGTTCGCAATCTTCACGTGTTTCTCCCTTCTCCTAAGATCATATGACGTTCTAAATTCACCCCTCAATAATTTCGATTTGCATTGACAACATTGGTCAGTATAAAATAGTCTAAAATGAACTTTTTATACTTGTCCCATAAAAAATTTTGGCGCATTATTCTTTCTTATTTTATTCAATGGCTAACTAGTTTGTGGATAAATTTTCTAAATACTTCCTTACTTCATGCTCTTCCTCGGTTTATACTACAAATTTTTCTAATGACAAATAATCTCTGATGTTGATGCGTGGATTTCGGTCCTCCGGTTCTCCTCCTCGCACCCACCAAACTTGTTGCCGGGACTAGTACCTGCAAAACCAAATCGAGCTAAACCGGTGTGACTCTAGTCACACGGGCTCCGATGCTTAAGTTAGTAAGAGAACAAGGTAAATGTAGTCACTTCTTCGCACCCCCTTACCTCTAAGGTCGGATCGCTACTTATAGCGTGGAGTTGTTCCAGAACTTTCCATAGCTAACCCTAATTCACCGTTGCAGGGCCTGGGTGGAATC